CATTGTATAAAAATGATAATCTATAGCTTGAATTTGTTATGTTAAATGTATGAGATCCTCCATCAATTATTCTGTCAGGATAGATAGCACCCTGATCTAATACCACAGAATGATATGTGCTGCTCTGGTTTGATCTTCCCGCTGTAATTCCACTGTAAAGCACTGCCATTACAACAAGTATCGTACATGCCAGTACGACATAAAAGACAGCTTTAATACTATCACTAGCTATAGGGAGAAACCAAAATAGCATCATTAATAAAGTTTGCAATTATTTTGCTACTAGTCACTAGACTACATGTATAGCTAGCCATTCAGTTCCTTTACAATGTTATAATGACACTTGATATTGAGCTGAGACAACAACAACATAACTTGTTGCAGTTTTTGTATCGAACTTGAGTCACATTCAAAATTGGCATGCAGTGCCGGGGGATCAGTTGCCACTGAGGGACTTGCCATAATTTAATTCTAAATCTTACTCCAGGCCGATGCTTTCTGCATAGCTATGCTTACTGGCATGGAGCACTACTATTGTAGTAGCCATCATAATGATAATTATTGCATACCGTCTGATGACTATCTGAGAGGCCGGCTAGACCACTCTGTATTGTATATACTATGACCCCAGGCTACAAGAATTCACTAATGAGAACTCACTAGGCTAATAATATTTACACTTACTAGGTCTATCATTTATAGCCATTCCACCATAGACGTTGTTCTTTCTCTTTCTGCGGCTAGTCCACTTTTTGCTGCCAAGCCGAGCCGAAGGGATAATAATTAGGCTGTGTCTACAGGTCCGGTAACCGTACACAGTTTTCAATTGCTAGAGGTCCGGCAGTCCGTTTTCTCCGTAAAACAGCTTGTGCGCATGCGCAATAGTGCAAAACGGAACTTAAGGCCTTTTCACACTGGCGCAGTTTTTAAAGCGCTTTGAATTGATGCGCTTTTGTGACGTCACTTGTACCATAGATTGTATTATATTACTAAGTAACAGGGATTGGAAACTGATGACGTCACACGGACAGACTCTGTAATGGTGGAAAAGCAATGGAAGGACTACATAAGCTCTTCTCCTAGTCTCCAACTGTATTAATTTGAATTTTATTTACTATCGATGATGAACAGATAGGTCTTGGGAGTTCATGACTGTTCTTTGTGACGGTTAAGCATAGTTTTGTTGACAGAATCTTCGCCGCCTCTCGCGGCCCATGTTATCATTGAAATTGCCTTTGTGATGGCACAAATTAACGAATACAGCTATTATTTTTCCAAAGTGCCGTCTGTGGCTTATATAATAGGCTAAAGGCATGTGAAAAACCCTGATCTTTGTTACAGTTTTTGTCCTTTATCCTAATTTTACTTACTTTTTGTGATATAGGTTGAACAGATACGCCTCTAAAAACAGACATTTTGGGATCTTATGATCTGTATGAAGCACTAGTGATAATCAGGGCCGTAGCCAGGAACTTAAAGAGGGGGTTCGGAAATTGCTGCGCGCGAAGCGCGCAGCAAAAATTTTGACGTAAATGGGCGTGGTTGGTAGGCGTGGTCTTGATTTACTCATCTCAGCCATGTGCTGACTCAGCTAAAATGGCCATCTGTGCTTCTCGCTGTTGCCAAAATGCTAATCCTGCTTTTGCAGTGCTGTTCTTCATGACAGGAGCTAATCTAAAACTTTTTTGCAGCTACAACAGGGGGTTCGTCCGAACCCCCCGAACCCCCCCTGGCTACGGGCCTGATAATGAAAGTGTTTTAGTGGCACGTAGCTTTACTTGATGCATGTTTTTTATATTGACACTCTCTCAGTTTTAGTTACCCTTAGCAAGTTATAGGTTGAATAGATTTCACACCTATTACGCATGGTAAAAAAGCATGCTTTTTCTCATTTTTCTTCAAAATAAAGTGCTGTATTACAGCTTTAACAGTTTCTGATAAGTAAGCAAACCTTCAGCAACAATATAAGCTACATAACTGCCCTGGATCTGGCTTCAAGCTACACTTAATCCAGTAGTCCTCTCAGTCATATTGCTCTTGTCTCAACGAGCCGGAGAAGGGGCAGAGTCTTACAAGGTTCGTCCGCACCTGCTTTCATTAATTTGAATGAGATCACGTGATCTGTTTCCTATCCCTGTTACCAAGAGTAGATAATACTTAGAAGAGAGTGTCCTACTGGCTATAGTGTCTGCTTCATCACCGCGTAGAGTTGAAGAGTCACATTCAGGTTATTTTCAGTATTCTTGACTAGTTATTCGAAAATAACTAGCAATATCTATAACTACTCAATAAAAATACTGAAAATATCCTGAATGTGACTCTTCAA